TCTCTTTTCTATCCTTAGCGTTGATCTTTCTGAAGACCTGGAGCAGAAGGGTGACCTTGTATCGAGGAAAGACACTATTAGGGCTATGCTCGTCAACACAGTGGCCACTAGCTATGAGGCTATTTACATGTAAATTAAACAAAACTAAATAAAATTCAAAGTTCAATCTATATATTGCTGATAGAGTGATAAAATTCTAATTATTTTTTGTCTTTTATTTTCTGTTTTTTTTCTGATTTAAACTGTATTCTCTGAGAAATAACCATTGAAAATACACACCCACATAACACACACAATACACACAGACATCATTAAAATAAATATATTCTCAACTAGTATAATATGGAAGGATTCTTCTTAATTCTTATGTGAAGAAAGAATATTACACGTTGAATATTATTACAACAGAGAAAAATATAGTCACAGAATAAGATTGGAAATAACTTTTAGATATTTTAACAGTGAAACTTTGTTAGCAGTAAAATTATTAGTGACAATTCTTCCTACCTTTCCTCATTTTATTAAATGTATGTTATTGCTATGCTAGAACATTTAAAAAAAATATTTAAAAAGGAACAAGTGTGTAATTTAGGAATACTGCCTTTTACAATTCTGGGCTCATACGCAACTGTTTCACAATTAGCCTTGTCAATTCCTCTGGCATAAAAAATAACAAACAAGGCCCTTATTTCCTTCAATATTGAACCAACAATGTCAATTTTTTTGTATCTTGCATATTACAATGGTAGACTATTTGACTAAAGGCTTAATATCTTACAAAACTTACCCTTTTTGAATAGATTTGTGTTTTAGCAAGGAACAAAGTTACATATAAATTTGAGGTTTTGAAAATGAGCTTCGTAGAAGCCTAGGGCTTCCTGGAAGGTCCCTGTGTGTCCTTAGGAGGGGATCGGTCAGGCCAGCTGGAGAGGGGAGGAAAGGGCTTTGAGCCTCCAACCACCCACTTTCCCCCGAGCAGCTGGACTTTCCTTTGCCATCTTCTACATTTATTGCTGTGTAATTTTCCATTTAGGAAAAAGCTGTATCTCAATATGTAGAAAGCCAGTGTTTTAAATGATGGAATGACTATCCAGCGATCAGATTTCTATCTTGCAGAGTAACTGCTGAGAGGAATTTGAGGGAATGCTGTGGTTCTTTACATCTGGACTGGTCTGCAGCCTGTTCCTCTGTTTGTTTGTGTACAAGTCAGACCTCCTCCTCTAGTTACTGGGTGCACTAGCGACTGTCACAAGGCAGGCTCCCTGGTGGCAGTCTGCCAGCTCCCTCCCAGAAGCAGGGTAGACCATTTCCTCACATTTTGAGCTCTGCTCTGTATCCACAGCTCTAAGAAACTGAAAAAATGGAAGCCTGATGGCAGAGCTCAAAATGTGAGGAAACGGTCTACACCTGATTCTGGGCTCTTTTTAAATTAACACATGCAGTGTTCAGCATCGCAAGCATTGAGGGCCGCACAAAAAAAGACTAAGGTGGCCGGGAGTGGTGGCTGATGCCTGTAATCCCAACGCTTTGGGAGGCCTAGGTGCGTGGATCACTTGGGGTCAGGAGTTTGAGACCAGCCTGGCCAACATAGTGAAAAACCATCTCAACTAAAAATACAAAAATTAGCCAGGCATGGTGGCATACACCTGTAATCCCAGCTATTTGGGAGGCTTACGCAAGAGAATCACTTGAACCTGAGAGGCAGAGGTTACACTGAGTGGAGATCACACCACTGCACTCCAGCCTGGGAGACACAGCAGGACTCTGTCTCAAAGAACAAAACAAACAAACAAACAAAAAGGCTAAGGCATGCCTCTCACAATGTCAAAGTTTACATTTCATTCAGAGTAAAGGTGAAGAATATAGGCTGCATAAAATAAAGGGCTAGTGTTAAGATGTTTTAAATAAAACAGAAATCCAAACCTAACTAATAAGGAACTTTTTATAAACACTTAACAAGGTTAGAGTAACCATCTGGGCTGGTTTGTTTAGAGGTTCAATGATGCACCAAGGATGTGGGATTTTTCCATTGCTCCTGTGCAGTCTTTATTTTTGGTTTCTTCTGCCTGCTTGTAACACAACAGTGACCTTATATCCAAGCATGATGCGATCTAGAAATATGCTCTTCAGAGTCATCATCACTAGCCACACATGGCTATTTACATTAAATTAATCAAAACTAACAAAATCAAAGTTCAGTTATCCAGTGGAATTAGTCACATTTTAAAGCTAAAGAACTACATGTAGCTAGTGGCCATCATATTGGACTGCACAGATGTAGAGGATTTACATATTTTCAAGCTCTGTTGAACAGCAGTGGATTTTGGCAAAAAAGGAAAATTACGTTCCTATGGTTCTTTCTTAAGAATCAGGACATTTCTCAGAAGCTTCTGAGAAGACCTATCTTTATGGTTCTTTTACCATTAATTCTCATGTCCATTCTGGAGCAAAACCTTAACAAGACAAGGGATTATAGCAGGACCTGCTAATTTACCACAGACACAGGGGTAGAGCTGATATCCTCCTAGTTACATAGCTGCAATGGTATGACTGTGTTTCAATAACACTTTATTTATATAACCAGGTAGGGGGCCAGATCTGACCCTCTGCACATAGTTCATGGAACCCTGTTTTAATTCACGAGTCTAAAATCAATAGAGCCATTTGGTTTATATTTTAAAAATCAATAAAAATTTTCTTCTCATGCTCCCATCTTGCTATGCATATTCAATCAGAGTTCTAGGCTATGGTTTTCAATTTTAAAAGCTGGGTTGGGTATATTTGAAACTCAAAGCATAAACATTTGTCAAATCATTCATGGGGTCTGGAAAGGATATTCTGAAAGTTAATTCTTAATGATGAAAAAATAGCATAGATAAGCATGATTTGAAAAGATAAACAGAGAATATAAGTTATTTTAACCACTATACTTCTAAATAACTAATATTAAGAAGAGCTACATAAAATTGCTATCCTTTAAAGAAATATTGGCAGTGTGCTACAATGCCACCTATTACAAATAGTTATATATAGACAATTTATATTATAGTTCCTGTATGTGAGTACCTAGACCAATGCTGACTTCTAAGATTGGTCAACTGATTTCTGACTATGCCCACACTCATGCGTAGGTGTGTCCATGATTTTACCGCATCCAAGAACTTCAGAGCTGGCCAATATCCCCAAATCCCTAAGAGAAATCAAGATTGTCTTATAGAAAAACAAGCACTCTCCACATGTTCAGCTTCTCTAGCTCTTTTTTTTTTTCTTTTTTTTTTTGGTTTGTTTTTATAGGAATGTGTATTTGTGGAAGAACTTCACAGGTATGAGGCAAGCAAAAGCTTTCTTCATTTAGGGAGAGTGATGAAAGAACTATGCAGAGAGGCAGCCGCACAGTGGCAGGAGGTGGGAAGAGGGTACATTCAGACATTCTCTGCAAATTTTGCAGGCAGAGGAACTATTCCTTTTTCTATGTTCTAAATATATAAGCAAAAAAGAATTGTGAAGCATGTATGCATCACATAACATTGCAAATCATGACATAATATAATGCAGTCATCTTTTTTTGTGGAGCAGAATGTGTATGCCATGTTGCTTTTCCAGAATATTTATAGATTTCCTGAGAGTGACTAATTGTTCTCCAAAATTATATTTTTAGTTGCCTTCTCTGTATCCACAGCTCTAAGAAACTGAACAAATGGAAGCCTGTTGGCACAAGTATCAATGAACTCCCATCTGTTGTTAGTGGTTTCATTACAAAAACGTGTGTATCTCTAGAAGAAATTTTTTAGAAAGAAGCCATTTCAGCTCCATGTCAATCGATAGCTTTACAAGTAACCCGTCATAGTTGATTTTATATGAGCTCAGCCCTTTCAGGAAAAAGAAATCATTCCATGAAGTAATCTTACAAAAACTCTGCTAGGATATTATATGTATGAGAAGACTCTAAGAACACAAGCCCATGAACTGAAGCTAATGAATTATCTATGGATTTCAGTTCAGATTTCCTAGGTTTACTTGAGAAGATGAATATATTCAGAGAAATAAATGCCATTGCTATTTTTTTGTCTGCTAGCAAATGGCATTATCAATAGATTTGACTTTATAAGATGTACACATTGCTTTACCTAGGGTAGTTGAGGAAATATTAATCATCACAAATAATGTAAATTCCAGTCATGTATTTATGAAATATATTGATGTTGCCAGTCTCTACTTATTATAATGTGCTATGAAGTCTAGACAGAGTAATCACACATTCTTTGTAAAGGCGTGGATTGCAAAAATCATTGAATTTGCTGTAATGCTAATCCCTGGGTCTCATTCATTAATTTTTTACAGTTGATTTTACATTCCTATGAAGAAAAAATAATTAATAACACTTTTCCACCCTCCTAATTTAACTAGAATCTTGCATTTAGAAAACCAAGTAACATTTAATTTGACCATTGAGCTATGTCTTCATTTGCCCATTTCTCAATTCCAATTTTAAATGCAAATGTTAACAATTTCAAATATTTCCTCTCTAAGAACATCTCATAGTGATGCAGCTTGTGTCACTATAAAAACATCAATTTCCAAATTCTCATTCATTGCAGATCTTCAACTAGTTGCTGACTAAAAACAGTATCTCTAACCCCGAAGTTTTATTGTCCATTAACTTAAGTCCAACCTGATTTTTTAAAATGTAAAAGCCATTACTAAAAATACTAAACCTATAGAAAAACAGAGCTAACACGGGACAAATCTAAGAGGGCTGACCGACAGAGAATGAGGAATCTATTAAATCTTCAAAGATCTAGTTTTCTGCAGCCCCCAACCTCCTTTGCTCTAGGCAATCCCAAATATCCAGCATTAATCATGCATTCGTTCCTCTTGCCCCAGCTTCCTCTCCCATACCTCCTAAAATGCAGCGTAACATTTATCGCCATCCCTGGAACTGATTTGGTGCACACTACCACTCAACAGAAGAGTTTATATTTAAATTATGGACTCTCCAATAGTTTAAACATGTTTATTTTCCTCTTGCCTTGCTCTTGGTCTTGTCCACAGGAAATTTATTTTTGCCGGACAGCCATCCATTTATAAAAACGTGCTTTGTACAAACTTCTTTATCTTCTTTGCTGATGGTCTCATTTTCTTTGCGGTCTATTTGTCAGTACTTATATTTTTCTGTGTGATAAGAAGGTTATCTACCAAATGGCAGTAGACTTACTGCCAGTAGTGGCAGCTGTTCAATTTTATATGATCTTCTGAATTATAACTTTCCTAGGGAAAAGACACAGTGTATGTGCATTAAATGTGATTATTTTAAAATTTGCTTATTCACATATACAATCAGAAATATAGCTTTCCATCTTTGGGGCAGAATAATAACTCTCCATAAAAAGAGGCCTTGCATTTTTCTGATGACGTTCACTCCAGGCAGCCTAACAGCTTTCAATTCTGTCTCCACCACTTCTTTAGCATTTGACTTTGGGCAGGATACTCAATTTCTTTGTCTTCACTTTGCTCATCCCCAAAGTGAAGATATAAATATTACCATCTTTGGTAGTATTGTTTGCAGGATTGAGTGAGTTAATATGTGTGAAGCTCTCAGTTGGTGCCTGGCAGGTAGAAGGCACTCCATGAGCTTTGGCCATTCTTATTATTGCAGGAATAACTTTGTCTCAATGGCAATCAAAACATCATCTTGGGTTTTGTCTGTGTGACTGATGGACTGACGTTTTCATCACATCAACCATTATTTAGGATAGCATAATCTCAGTTGTTGAGAGATGTTATTAAGGAAGTTCAGTAACATTCAAGAAAGTCTCAGCAACACTATTCAATAATATTGCAGAACCATATCACCTTTTGCAGTCAATTTAAATAACCAGGAAACTGTAAACAACCACACTTTTTCCAGAGTTGCTTTCCTGATGGGGCATGCAGAACAGTACAATTGGTACAATGTACGTTAGGTGTGGGCTCTTCTCAATGTTAAGTGTAAATATAAAGATAGGAATGTAAAAACTGTAAAGGCTATTTTAATTGTATGTGTGTGTATGTTATGAAGGTATTCTGACAAAAATTGAAAACATTTCTCTTATTCCATCAGATGCAGAAACAAAGGAAGCAGTTCTAAAAGTAGTATGGGCTGCATCATGTTTTGAGATATAGAAGTCCGACAGGTACCTAGTAACATGTTACGGCCAGGAACAGGGGAGCTGTTCATGACTCCTCTCCCTCCACCATGTCACCCAGCTATGCTCCTACTTACTGCTCATTCAGCCCTGTTGGCTGCAGACTCTAAGTGTCTCTTAAATCTGTCCGCATTGGTTATTCTCAACCATATTGAGCTTGGATGACTGCAGTAGTCTCCTCAATGGTGTCCAAATTCGATCTTCTCACCTAAAACCATAACCAGAGAAATCTTTTAAAATCTGTATTTGGGGCATTGTCCTTAGAGACTTAAGCCTTAAATGGCTTCCTATTGCCTACCCAATGAAGTCTCCAATCTTCAGCTTGACTATGGGGCCCTGAGTAACTGAGCCGTGCCTCCTAGACAGCCTGGGTCCCTCTTTGCTCTGCTCACTCAGTCGCGTTGGTCTTCCTCTCCTGGAGTGTGGCTCACTCTCCACACCATCGACTGTTCAATTGCTGCCTGCCCTTCAAATCTCAGCATCAACACTGTCCTTTGATACAGGCCTTTTCTTGCTGCACTGGCACCTCCTTCATAAACACCTGCCATTTCTAATGACACCAACCTGTGCTTCTCCTTTTGAAGTGTTCGCCCTATGTGGGATACTTGTTGACATTTTCTCCATTTAAATATGAGCTCCACGGGGGCAGGCACCACATTTGTCTTGCGGCAGATGTTAGCCTCTGATTGGGCAGAATATCTGACATATAATTTTCAATGCTCGTTGAATATGTCAATAAATTTAGGGAATCCCTAGATAATTTCTTAATACCCAATTACTATATTTTGAGATGGCTTGCTGAACTGGTTTAAATTCGGATCTGAATAATGCCAGACCTACTTAATTAAATGAAATTTTAAATAATTCAATGAAGGTATTTGACCATGAAATGGAAATATAATGGAGTTGTTAAAAACATCGTCACCATAGTTAGAATGCTGTGTTCAAATACTGCCTGTGCAACTTAGATGTGTCCCCAGGCTAATTACTGACCTCTAGTTCCTCTACTTCCTCAGCTGTCAAATTCTTGTGAGAATTAAATACACGAAAATACCTAAAGCACTTACAAGAATAATAAGCCTAATAGTTCAGACATATTCATCTAAAAGGAAAAGTCTCTTCTCTTCTTCCATCAATTAGATGTCTGTCTTTCATATTTTCAAGCTAAAACATTAGATAATATAAAATTATAAAATTGCAGAAAGGAAAAACTCTGAAAAAATTTTCCATGACCTTTCCTTTGACCAAATATCCAGATTGGTCTGGTCTGGACAATTTAGATGTTTGGAGTCTACAACATAGCACATATGCACTCCTCCTGGTCAGATGGATGGAACAAATCAACCTTGGTATCACCATCCAGAGTATTTGCTCATCCCAGGTTTTCTCCTTTCACTCACTGAGCTGAGTATAGACAGTCTTTCAGACACCTTCAGATTGTCCATGCCAGGAAATTTCCTACCCGCACAGCAGTGGGTCGCCCACTGAAGGGAGAAACCAAGCCTTCTGTCAGGATTCTTGATAAGCTGCCATTATCTGAGCAGAGGGTTTTCCTTTTGGCCTGACAAAAATGTCTGTATACATCAAATAGGATAATTTCCTATTCTACCACCTCAAGAATTCAAAATAATCTTTCGTGAAAAAGCATCAGGAGCTTAACAAAAATCACACTGAGTTACTGTTTCTGGTTTTTCTAAATAACAAAGCCTTATTAGGTTCCTACGTATGATTCAACAATTAAATCAAATGAAATTACTAATTTCCACCCCCCTCTTTCACTCACCGCAGACTGCTTTATAGAGGATGTAATCCATTGCGAGCTACTAAAGGAAGGACACGTCTTCCAAGGTATATTCACTCTTAAAAAATGATCAGGTTGATTTGGATAAATATCTTTGAAGTCTTTATATTTTAAAGAAGTTTTATTTAAAGTACAAGATTATAATTGGTCCTATCTGTCAAACTGAAAAAAAGATTTTTTTTGCTGTCAATAATCCACTTTAGATATATAGTGATGCAAAAATATTTCATCTTTTAAATTGATTGCATATTAGCACATTTTGGCCAATGAGTTTATTTTTCTTTTTATTTCCAAAGATGCAATAAAGTAAGAGAAAAAAGCTTTTAAACAGGCTTTTAAACAGCCAGAAATGACATGATTTATTTGCATGAATTGCACATATGGCTGAAGTTCTTCCTGTGTCATATTTTCAATACATTAAAATACTTTCTACATTATGATGTTTTATAAAATTTTTCTCAGCAACTCTGGGGAATATAGCTATTATATCCTTAGGAAGAGGAAATGATCCTCATTCTTCTGGGAGTTTAGTGTTATTAAAGAGGTTTATAAGCAGTAGATATGGAAGTTAAATTTATTTACTTTAGTTTTCTTTTGTGTTTGTAATTAAACATCATAAAAATGCACAAAAGAGCAGACACAGAAAGTAATAAATGTAACAATATTGTATAACTTCACTGTACTTCAAATGTATATTGACCCATTTTGCCTTCAGAGTAAATGAACTTGGGAAATCATTTTACATATATATATATATAAAAGATCCATATATCTAATATATTATATATATATAAGATCCATAAATATATATGTACTTTTAGGACTGCTATATCAGAGGCAAATAAAGGGTTTGCTATTTCCCTGAATTTCCACTACACACATTTTAAAAGCAAAGTGGGTTTACTAGTGGTGACATTTTAAAACAGGAACATTTGGATGATTTGAAGTGAACTAATTCTGAGACTCAGTCATTACCATGGCAACACCAGGGTTCAGAAGTCTTCACATGGAGGCAATCATTGGGTACTCTTGCGTAAAACACAGATGATTTAGTCCTGCTTTTGTCAGAAAGGTTAAATGGATTCTTTTAATAAACTGGAAAAATGTGCCAATACGTCCAATATCCATGAAAGTAGATAGCACTAATGGTTCATCAAGCCTAAGTCTTCCCACCAAAGGGGTTCGACTTCCTTCAAAACATGTGGGAGAGTCATTTCCCCTCGTTTCTGAGATGGTATGTCGTTAGCCTTCCAAAAAGCGAAGGACACTAATTGATTCCTTTATTCAATTTTACAAATCATTCTTTGTGTATAACTTTTGCTAATAAAGCAAAATAAATTTCCTGCCTATCCATCCAAAATATTCCTGTATCACAAAGTTTAAGGAAGGGATAAGCATAAATGTTCCACTCTCCCCCTTGGTGGAGGAGGGTGAAGTGAGAAAAACAAAACAAAACAGAGCAGAAACTAAGATGCTTTGAGAAGGCTCTCACGACATTTTCTTGACTGAGGGTCATCACAGACAATGCTTTCTCCACTTATTTATTTGGACACTTAAGGAGAATAAAATAAACTCTTGGTATCTTTCCCTGTTTTTAGGGTTAATTAGATTTTCTGTAACAACATACAAATATATGCAAGTCACAGTCATCAAAGGTGACACCCGTTGGTGGTGGCGGGATGCAACAGACACTAAGTGTAAAGCTGTGTGTAGACTGCTCTCGACCAGGTAGCATTTCCAGAAGACTTTATCAAGTAAGAGGCTTTGCACAATTCTGTAACTGTGTGTTTAGAGCTTCCCAAGGAACAATCACAGATTGAGAGAGTCTGGGACATGAGCACAGCCATAGCTTCCAGTCTTTTCTGTGTGTGTTATCTACAGGGTGGTCTTTATTCCAAGTGAATCATTTCCATCCTGTACACCAGTACATGTGCTGAGCACACTTTCATAGACCAAAAATAGAAGTGATGATTAACAAAATTCCTCCATAGGATTTACAGAGGATTGGGAAGAGAATTAGAAAGGAGGTTGAGTTCACCCCATGTGCATTTGAGAGGGTTCAAGACTTGCCTTCCTCCAATTTACAGACATCCACTGAGAAACCACTGAGCACAAGTACAAGGCAGTTGCAGAAAAATCAGACAATGTCTGAGTCCCCATAGAGCAGGAAAGATGGTCATGTCATTTATGTATAGGCAAATAGTTCATTTTCAATATAAGAAGTGTTTAAAACAAAGTCTTCTAGGACCAAACAATACTATGAGTTTTGGGAGTCAGGGAAGAAAAAATACTTTTTGTTTATTGACCTTTCTTAATGTAGTGAAACACAACTATCAAATCTTAACAAGAAACGGAACACGGCCTTGTTACTATTTTTTCCACATCATGATATGGTTTCTGTGAGCCGGGAGCCCACGGATTCCTTATGGGGGCTAATCAGGTGTCAGCTGGGCTGTGTTCTCAGCTCTGCAAGAATCCACTTTCAATCTCATTCAGGTTTGGGGCAGAATCAGCTTGCAGCTGCATGACTCAGAGCCTCAGCTGTTGCTGTTTGTTGACGAGATACGGGCCTTGGCGTGGGGATGCTCCCAACATGGCTGCTCACGTCATGAGGCCAGCGAGGAGGGTGTCTTCCGCCTACCAAGCTGGAGCCGTACACAGTACAACGCAAAGCCTCATCACTGGAGCGACTTCCGTGAAGAAGGAGGAAGTCAGCGGTCACCCTTGCGTTCAAGAGGAAAGCACGTAAGCATGAGGGCCCCCTGGCTTCTATTCACCACACGATCTACGATCCCATTTTACAGAAACAGTGTCTGAAATGATGGCTTGCCAGAATTCCCATGGTGGAAGACAAACCCATCTTTAAACACTGGCTCTGGGTCTCTCTCGACCACTGCTCCTCCAGTGCAGGGCGTAGAAGACAACTTTGAGTCATGACTCATGGAAAATGGTTAATGTCCTCCCAGATTCCTGAACAATTAATTCTTCACTTTCCAGAGTTCTTCCAAATATAGATTATTGGTGCTGCACTAGCAATGTCCTGGAAACACTCAGCTTTTCAGTTCAGCTTTCTTTTTCCTAAATTGAACTTGGTTATATATGGCTAAGTTTTAGATAGAATTTTCAGTTCAGCTTTCTTTTTCTTGTACTGAACTTGATTATATAGTGCTAAATTTTATGTAGAATTCAAGCCAAAAAACTGGAACTCCTCGTGGCTAAGACCAAAGGATATTAGTGTAAAGAGAGTGGAAATGGGATTGACCAAGTGGTATAAATTTTTCCAAATTTTGACTTCCAACATCCCAATTTTATTTTAAATGGAATTGTTGGCATATGCCCAGTGTATCAAATAAGTAAATGTGATTTCTGATTCATTCATTCACTTAACATATTCATTGAGAGACAGT